TTTTTTCTCTTCTTTTAGATAAAACCTCAAGTGTTTGTAACCGTTCAACATAAACATTCTAACCGTCCTTTTGATTCCATGAACATCTGGCTAGAAGAGGTCGAAGCAGACGGCTTCGTTGTTTGCTTGAGAGAGTTTATGAGTTTCGACGGTATCCATACCGGACTTAAAGTGGTGAGTTTTAAAAAATTAGCCCAGTCTTCGACTATTACGTTTTTCTTCGTCCTTACTTGTTATCAATTAAATTTAAAATTAAATCTGATTGTATGGAAGCTAATTAAAAACCTGGTGGTTAGTTTGGCCTCCTCTTTTAAATTACGTAAAAATTATATTAGAAGAATTATTGTTATACCTAACCCATAAATGTTTTAAAACCGTAAAAGTCTGAATTTTGCTTTGCAAAGACAGCCTGACGAAAGGGGTGGAGGGGTGGACTGGAAGTGAAAAAGGGGAGAGGGAGGCGCTGATCAGGGAGAGGGGTTCTTTCAAAGAACGGCTTTTCAGCCTTAACAAAATATCGCCCCTGCTGCGCATGTGCAACAGGCGTTTTGAAAAGAAAGAAAGTTTTCTTGAAGTCGCGCACATATAAACTATCCTCGTCATTTCGCTAATACATTCTGAGATGAAACTTTAGGGTTCACTTAAGGGCTCACTTCAGCCCGGTGCCGTTGGCTTTGAGGCCTCCTAACACTCTAATGTTGAATAAAATTAAAACCGTTCAAGCTAGGACCATCAAACTTGGCGACTCTTGCTGATTTTTTCTAGATTTACTACTAATGAATTGTTATATCACACTTCATTTAGCATTATTTACGTAGCTGTTAAAATGGTCAAGGCTTTTTAGTGACTAGTTTGGAAAAATTAGTTGAATTTAAAATTGGCCAACTGGCAGGAATAAATAGAATTAAATAAATTTAAATAATTCAAAATGGCACTCCTAAAAGGCATATGGTCTCAGTAACAAATGACGTCATCATGTTGTCACTTCCATTGTTAAAGATTATCAAAGTGTCAACCATCGTCATGATTTTTAAGTAATTTAATTATTTTTGCTTCATGACTACGGGAACAATTGATAAGCTATGGGTTCAGACAATAAATGCAACAAGGTGACATTAGTTACGTCAAATTACGTTACTGTTTCAATCACTTTACACCTACTTGTTGGAATGATGATTACACTATTTTGTGTAAACTTAGTTGCTGTATTATGAGTGGTTATAAACTTCTCGAAGGGGCCTTCCTCCTCCAATTCCCAGGGAGCCCAAAAACGCCCGGTCAGAATAGTGTTAAATATAGGTCATGGTATGTTGCTTCTTTCTTAGACTGCAGATACGAATTTTTCTCAGGGTTCTCACCGTCAGTTTAAGTTTTCTTAAAAACCATAAGGAAAGACGTTTAATGCTGTGACTGTTACTTGCGTCCACCTTTTCAGAACTGGCTTGCTTATGATTTGCTACCTGAGGCTTGGAATTTTACTGAGCATGGAAGGCTTCATTTTTCTGGACTTGGTGCACCAAAGAAAGAGAACAACTATGCTTTTTGTCAGGTTGGAAAATGTGACGTTTATTAGTGATATATTCAATTTTTATTAACTTAACTTACAAACTCAAGCCTTTAAACCAACGTTGTTAACAATCAACGTTTGTGTTGTGTATTTCTCATTTCTTTGAGGGACACTGTGGCATCGGCGTATTGTGCATTTTTGAAATAAGGGTTTAAGTCCAACAAGAGATACAACCTTCTTGATCATCAATAATTAATTAAAAAAACCTCATGGGTTGTTCACAAGAGTTGTGATTTAGATTTGTTTACCGCTACGTTTTAAGGAGGTGCATCCTAGATATAGCTATAGACCTAGAGTTTGCTTAATCAGTTCCTTAATGAACTGGGACAATATCACTTTCTTCAAAACTTTAAACAGACAGAGGGAAAATTATTGTGTTTGTGAATAATAATTTATAGGATTATAAGTTTTAGAATCCATTCTACGAGCCGCCCAATATTATGGCGTCTGCCAGCCATGAAAATGGCACCAGGGAACTGTCAATGAAGGCGGGATGGTCGCTATAGCAACGCTTTGACTGTCTGGATTGAGGTGAGTAGCATTGAAGAGACCTAATAAGTTGAAACTGTTTCAAATATTTGCTGATTAAAATAGTTGCCTTCGCTAAAGAGTAAAGCACTTATAACTAATAAAAGAAGAAGTTCGAAGTGGCACTTAACACTTGACTGCAAATTCACGCAATAACTTGAATCATCAAATGAAACTAACTTTCTCGGAATGTATTGTTATTTTCATGTAATCCGATTGGTCAACATTGTCTAGGTAGCCTCAGTTATAGTGGCCGCGCACTGTAACAGACAGCAGCCTCCATTTTATGACCGTGGAAACTGTACGTCCGATTAAACCAAAGTTGCGCTTGTCCTTATTGTCTTAACTGGATCCCTCTGTCTGAAAGCTAACAAGTCAATACAAACTTTTTATTTATTGGTATATTTGATGTTATTTTCCAGGAGATCACTCGTTTGTCTTTCAAAGTGTGCATCAAAGACAGTCAGGGAATGAGCAAGTCTCACGATCCAGTTACAGTGGACTATGCAATAGTGGGAGGTACATTACTCTTATATTTGCTTATTCTTTAATTTCAAAGATTTGTCTCTCATACCGGTTCGTCCTACTATCAAGGCATTTGGACGTTGGGTCAAACGTCGAATTGAAGAAATGAATTCGAATGAGAATAAAGTCAGGCAATTGGCACTGTGAAAAAACTATGATCAAATGACGAAGAAAGAAGTTATAAAAAAATGCCGTTTAAATATTAAGGACAACATCGTATTGATCGTCTTATTATCTGGGTGAGTAACTGCAGCAGTGTACTTCTTTTTCAAGCGTTTTTGTAGAAAAAGTAACTTCCCCTTTCCTATCCTTTTTTGCCATAAATTTTCTCCACAGGAAAAACAAAGCAAAATTTAAAAATATCAAAAAGCAGTTGCGCTCTCAAAGGATGTAGGACGTCAGGTCAATTTGCTATTCATACAAGTGCTGATTTTGTTGTTGTTTTTCGCCCTAAAGATATAGACCCTTGCACAAACGTTACTTGCGATTACCATGCCATCTGCAAAGCTTTCTCTGCATTTGATGCTCGTTGTGTTTGTGATGACAACTGCCCGTCGTACGAGGAGCCAGTGTGTTCATCCAACTCGACAACATTTAAGAACAAGTGCTTTTGTCTGCTGGACATTTGCAGGCGCAAGAGTAACCACACTCTCTATCATCCCGGTAGCTGCACAGGTAAGAGAGCGGATTATATGGTTTTTTTTAAAACCACCTTAACCAGCACATACAGAACTCTAGTGTTATGAGATATGGTGCCGCTGATGACTTACGACATCACTCAATTTGGCGGCCATCTTGGGTGCCATCTTGGAATCACCGTTTTAAGCACATGGCATTTTCTGTGAAGCTGTAGGTCCAAAATAAATCATGATTAAATACTATTTTGCTTATTTTGGTACTGTTTTGAACGCAACAAAGTGCCAATAATATAGTGCCACGATATGATTGTGTGATTCTACAATCAGCTTTTGATTTAATTCCACGCATATAAAAAGGATTTTATACGTTTTTTTTCTCAACCTCATCAGGTATTTGTAGAATGCATCTTTATTTGTCTTTATGTTAACTTTGTTGCTGTTGTTGTTTGTTTGTTTGTTTGTTTTCTCTTATCGCTTTCAGCTCTAATTATCTTCGTTTTTCTTCTATGTTATATTTTCTTTTTCTTGTTGTTCCTCGACAGGTTTTCCTGTTCAGACTGGGCGAGTTTCACTGAGGAGACATGTACAATGGGCAGAGACGGCCTGTGAAGTAGTGAAATTTTCACCGTTTTCATTCTATCCCGACAAAGAAGTGCACGTACAAATAACGACCAATCACTGGAACATTAGCGAGAAAAATTTTGTACATGATGCTACTGTGTCCTGGGTGGAAACTGTTAACTTCGAGAATTTTGAGGTGAATATTTCAAAAGGAAGTTTTCAATTCAAGTACATGTATTATTTCAACTAGTAATTAGTGACCTTCTGCTCATTTGTCTTACATCTCCAAGAACTCTTGTTTACCTGTCATATTTCTGGTCAGTAAAATACTATTTGAACACATTTTATTTTCACAACGAGTTACTAGCGGAGATTTCGCGTCTTGCGCGCGCTGAGGAACACTATGGGTAAGAAAATTTGGTTATCTATGCATCCAAGAAATTTTGGTTACTAACAAAATCGTGCATACGTACGTAGGACCGCGTCTTCATGTTAACGGATGTGAAATGTCTTACTAGCTGTAAGTCCAAAACATATACAAATTGTGTTTAACTCGATTTTGGCCATCCATGTTATAACCAATCGACAGCCGTCAAAGTAGGGCATCCGAAGACCAGTGTCACATGACTTTATCGCTGGCTCAGGTGTGCTACTTATTGAGGTGACGGTTTTTTTTTAAGTTCTCCGCTGACCAGTTATAGAATTCAAGAGATCACAGGCTTAGAAAACTTTACTTCATGAAGTAAGTTACCACGAGAGCTTCGCTTTTGGCCTTGGCTAAATCTATTTAGTATATACTTAAACAGTGGATAGTGTTTTTCACGCGCTCTGATTGGCTACTCAATCAGTGAATATCCAGTGCTATTCACTGATTCACCTCCAGTTCCTCCTAGCGAGCGACTCCAAACTCGCAAAAGTTTCGAGCGAAATAGCTTCCCGGTTTGCTACCATAACAAGTAAAGAAATTTCTCAAATAGTCAAACAAGTTGTTCCTGAAATACACGAAGAAGGTGAAAAATTCGGTTTGGAAGTTTTAACAGGTAAAGCTTTGTCTGTTTGACTTGACTTTATCGATGAAACCGGTAAAAAAGCCTCTTGTTCACATATGCAAAGTAACTCTTGCGTTACTTTATTTAGCCGATATGTTCACAAATAAGTTTTCACAGAATGGTTTTAATACAAAAAGAATTCACAACTCATTTTGAAGAAATTTCCCCGGAAAAGCTAAACAAATGCCTTCAAGAGTTTTATTTGTCGGCAACAAAACGCGACGGCCGCCGGTACGGTCATTACGCGCCAAAATTATAATCGTTGACAACAGTAAATGAGTTAAAAATCATCATTTTTGTGCTCAATTATCTCACTGTTTGAGTATTGACTAAAACAATTATCCACCTTAGTGTCGGCAGCTAGTGGTGGCGATTTACCTGCCGCTTCGCGGCTAGGCAATTGACCACAACTGCCAACCTCCACTTCAGTGAATAATTGTTATATATTATCTTACCAGATAAAATAAACATTAACCACTACATTTAATATTTAGGTGTGCGTGACTGCAGCAGGAAGAAATGATCGCTTTATCAAAGAATTTGCCACGGTGGACTGGATGGCCTACCAAGGTGCTCCTGATGGAGGTGTGGCGGGTAAAACGCCCATTCCAGAATGGTGGACTGGATCACAGTGCTCAAAAGTCAGCCTTCCTCAGGCAATAACACTTTATTGTTACCTCTCAGATGCATCTTGTTCCGTTCCATAAACCAGAAAAAATAATGACCTTTAGTTAAGTTTTTCAGTAAGATAAACATTTGCTATGCTGATGTTATAAGTACCAAACACTCCAGTTGTTATCCAATCAAAGATATCGTACTTGGACTTGGAGACATGAGCTGCAAAGAGGCAGCCCTGTTCTGTCCGCGGAATTCCTTCCGACACATGGGCCATTTTTATACTATTTTTTTAAATCAGTTTTTCACTATTTGTCAGAAGGGGGAGATATTCTTAAAAAAAGTATCACTTAATACAAAAAATTGGCGAAAGAAACTTGTACGGTCAAGGGCTAAATTGGACACTCGCGTTCAGACACCTAACAACGATCTTATGTCTTAAAGAGCGTCCCGATCATGTGAAAGATTGTTTATTCCAAATTTAATTTTACATGCTATTCTCCCAATCATCTTTGCTCTGCATACTTAATAATTACCAATTCAACTTTCTTACTGTTATGACCGTTTTTTTTTTAACAGGGAAAATTTGCGTCTTCACCAACAGTCCTGGTTACAGCAGAACATATGAGTGCAGACTTTAAGCACGATGCCGCAAGTTTGTGGGTGGAAAACGCAACCAGTTCCTCCTTTTACATTTGTCTTCGAGAACTACAGAATTATGATGGTCTACATGAAGATATCTTTGTGGTATATGTTTTCTCCTTTATAAATATATCTGTCTGGAGTTTGCTAAAACGTGGCTAAAAAAAATTTCAAGTGCATTTTAGCAATTGGATATCTAAGTCGAATGGAAAGCAGTTAAAAGTTACTAGCTGACAACTTTATTGCTGGCAACAGACGGTAAATCCCTCTCTCAGAAGTAAGAGGATTTTGCGATAAAATAAACAACATTTGAAACGTCCAGACATTATATATAACCTTTTAGTCAGCCAAACCTTGAGGCCCCTAGCGAAGTGTCTGCCGAAAACAGATTAAGAGGCCACAATCTTTGAGCACAGAATAGGCCTTCTAAGCCAAAATCATCTAAACTAACTCTCACAAAGCGTTTTTATGCTTGGCATGAAGTAATCTGTTAACACGAGTTCAACTACATACCTGAGTTTTGTCTGTCAACACCTTCGGTAAATCACACAATAAAATCACTTTCGATGCGATCACAACACTTCCAAAAACCACTCATAATATTTCCACATTTAACACGGGCGAAACATCGTCAATTACTTGGAGCAAAAACAGCCCGGTCTGAATAGGTTCAACGATAAAATACGTGAAATGAGATCTCACAAGTATTGTGGATACAACTTACAAATCGTTTTTCGGGAACATAGCTTAATTATTTCTACACGGGATTTACGTATGAGATAGCAATCCACTTTTGATTGGTATCCCTCTCTTTAGAGTTGGATGGCCTTTGAAAAAATACACAGGCCCGTTTTCGCTGAGAGCAAACACGTGGAATTTCCAAACAACAATTCCGTTTCTACAAGCTACAATGGTGCGTTTTGCAAGGTAAGAAGCACTTTACTTTTAAGTAGAAGAAGGCTCTGTAACTATTTAGATATTACAGCAGAGAAAAACAGCTATCAACCCCCCCCCCCCCCCCCCCAGGGGCACTCCCTTATATAAGCTATTTAAGTATGTGCCGCTCCATCGGGTAGGGTTTTTGCGCCGTTTTGGTCTGACAACGGGTATACACTTTGCCCATTTTGGTCTGGAATGAGGCCGTGAAAGGAACTTCTTTTTTGACGGTTTATCAAAGCCGTCGGAAAAAATTCTTCAACAAAGAAGTGTTTTGGCACTCAAAAATTACCTGTTCCCTCGAGTCGGCGCAGATAAATTCCAGCCACCAATTATATGACCATGCATTGATGAAAATGGATGGTGTTTCAAAGTTTATATCAACAGCCTTCTTTTTATGTCCTTAGGACGTCCCATTTGCAAAGAATTACGACAAAGAACCCATAGTATTAATAGCAGCCGGTCACAACTCAGAAGGCAACAATTTGAAGCCAATATACATGTCCGTGACCCCATGGATTGAGGTATTCTCAAATTATTTAACTAATATACAACACACTTTAATCAAAATAAGTAACATCAAGCTGACGACCCTGTAGGAAATCTGCAAATGAGCTAAATTACATCAAGGTCTGTTCGTGCAATCTGTTTATCAGTGACAGTCGCGTTGCGAAACATTCCATCTATTTGTCCATCTGTTATTTAAGGTCAGTTTCCCAAGTTCTTTCTTTTTTTTTTAGATACGAAAACGACTCTGAGCTATTACTGTTCTTGTAAGCGAAATATCTGACGCTAAATGATTTGCTTATTATTTTACAGCACATCAAGACCAGCGAATTTCGCGTTTGTCTCAAGGAGTTGTTCGCTGACCAGCATGATCCTGTGAATGTGTCCTATACAGTACTAGCAGGTTTGTTAGTAAATGATGAAAACAAATTTTCTTTGCGAAGGCCTTCTCATGCCCAGCAAACTTTGGTAGATGTCAACTGAAGTAAACTTAGAGACTCCCTGTTTCATATCTCCTTTAAGTAATCACCAGTAAATGTATTTTCTCAGTTCCTACTTACCACAAGTAACGGTTTCTCTTTCCATATATACTTCTCGGCCAGCTCGAAGTTTTCATGGAACAAACCAAACTCTAATTCGAGTCGACCTAACTTGAGTTAAGATCTTCTGCTGGGTCAGACGTCGATCTTTATAGGACGGGTCGAACCAATCAACTGAGTCTGATCAGTAATAAAATTATTTTCTCCCGAACGATTTTATATACATTATCGAAATTTTTTTAAAATTTATTAGTTTAGTTCGTTACATGTGAAGATCGACGTTTGTCCCGGAGACGATCTTCGGACCCTCTGCCCGTCTGAACGTTTTGGACGATACAAACTCATTCAGACGAACTTAACTAAGCCGGACGTCGCTAAGAACATTTCATGAACTTAACTCACTAAGTTTGGTTCGTCTCATGAAAAGTACGACGTTTGGCCTAGGTCTTTTTTTTCTTTGTTACGTACTATTTAGTTCACACGAAATGTTTTGTATATTGCAGATGTATGTAAACCGGGCTGGTCATATTTTAATGGTATTTGTTACTCGACAAGCCATTCGTGCAAAAATTGGACTGAAGCTGAGAAAACCTGCCAGGCATATAGCGGGAACCTCATCACTGTGCGGAATCAAGAAGAAAACGTCTATATTCAGCATCGGCTGAATGGTGCCAAGGGCTGGATTGGGCTAAACGATAGGGTAATTGAGGGTACTTTCGACTGGGCAGATAATCAAACCAGTAACTTTTCATATTGGGCGAAGAACCAACCAAACAACGTCAACAATGAAGATTGCGTTCATACTTTGGGAGTCAGACATAGTTTTATGTGGAATGATGTAAGCTGTGGTACTTGCCATAACTATACCTGTTCAGAAGGTTTGTGGGTGACTTACCTCTTTTATATACCAACAGGCGTTACCATTATTATTATCATTATTATTATTATATTATTCATTAGCTCCTATTCAAAAGCAATTTACTTCCTATTTGCCCCAAGCCTGTTTCAAAAAGAGATTATAAAAATACTTTCTCATCAAAGGGTTTGCTCTTGACCTAATTTTGCAAGTGTGGGTTTTTACAAATCGAAAATGGACCTCGATAACCAATAGGCCATTTGCACGATGACGTCATTTTTTTACTACCACTACCAGAATCCTTCAGGGTATTGCTTTCTTATGCAAATTACAGCTTTTGTTATTTAAACCTCAGTGGGATTAGCAAATTTAAATATGAAAGAAAAAACGAAAAGAATTCTGGTCCTAGTAGTGAAAAGGCGTCATCGTGCAAATGGCCCATTTCTCTGGCTTCTTAGCTGACAAAAAGTTTGAGTTTACTGTAAATCTGTTTGTTGCAGAAATAGTATTAATTAAAGGATTAGTCTACAAAGAAAAATAGGCACTACCTGTGCGAAAAAGAAAATTAGGCATCACAAGAAGGATCCATAAGCTGGCGCTTTTAGCATTGTATTACCCCCTCATACACAACAGATTTCGTGCTGAGTGACTCATATGAGCAACGATTTTAAATTTTTATTCTTTTGTTAAGAAAGTTGATTGATAATCGATCGTTTCATTATTTGTTTTGCAGGTTGATTGACTGAACGATTGTTTTATATTCGTTTTTAAAATTAGATTTTGATGAATGTGGAGGAAACTATAACCATTGTCATCAGAACGCCATCTGCACAAACACTATTGGCTCCTATAGCTGCCGGTGCTCCGTAGGATATACTGGTGATGGCTTGCTTTGCAGAGGTATTATGTTCGAAGCCCCAAGTTGTAGTTTTTCGTATAATTCATGAAGCATAATTATCAAAGGAAACTCATCCAATGGTAAACAGACATCTCTTGTGAGTTTAAGGCTAGCTAGAATAAGGTAGAATAAGCCTGCTTTCACCGTAAAATTGCGTAAAAATTTTTTTTTCAAAGAACTCTTTAGAGGGGTTTTAAATAATGAGCAGCGTATAATAGTAGTGAAATAAGCGTTTAAATATAGGCTGGAAAAAATTAGGAGGGAAGTCTTCACAGCGACTTTTTTTTTCAATTTCAGAGATGATAAAATTTGCACATTATTTCCCAATCTCTATGAATAACAGCAATGAAGTTTTTTAATTATCCTTATTTTATAGTTCATAGGTATACAGACCATACTATAACCTTAAATACAGCCCAAAAAGAGAACTAAAGTTCATANTGTTTTGGCACTCAAAAATTACCTGTTCCCTCGAGTCGGCGCAGATAAATTCCAGCCACCAATTATATGACCATGCATTGATGAAAATGGATGGTGTTTCAAAGTTTATATCAACAGCCTTCTTTTTATGTCCTTAGGACGTCCCATTTGCAAAGAATTACGACAAAGAACCCATAGTATTAATAGCAGCCGGTCACAACTCAGAAGGCAACAATTTGAAGCCAATATACATGTCCGTGACCCCATGGATTGAGGTATTCTCAAATTATTTAACTAATATACAACACACTTTAATCAAAATAAGTAACATCAAGCTGACGACCCTGTAGGAAATCTGCAAATGAGCTAAATTACATCAAGGTCTGTTCGTGCAATCTGTTTATCAGTGACAGTCGCGTTGCGAAACATTCCATCTATTTGTCCATCTGTTATTTAAGGTCAGTTTCCCAAGTTCTTTCTTTTTTTTTTAGATACGAAAACGACTCTGAGCTATTACTGTTCTTGTAAGCGAAATATCTGACGCTAAATGATTTGCTTATTATTTTACAGCACATCAAGACCAGCGAATTTCGCGTTTGTCTCAAGGAGTTGTTCGCTGACCAGCATGATCCTGTGAATGTGTCCTATACAGTACTAGCAGGTTTGTTAGTAAATGATGAAAACAAATTTTCTTTGCGAAGGCCTTCTCATGCCCAGCAAACTTTGGTAGATGTCAACTGAAGTAAACTTAGAGACTCCCTGTTTCATATCTCCTTTAAGTAATCACCAGTAAATGTATTTTCTCAGTTCCTACTTACCACAAGTAACGGTTTCTCTTTCCATATATACTTCTCGGCCAGCTCGAAGTTTTCATGGAACAAACCAAACTCTAATTCGAGTCGACCTAACTTGAGTTAAGATCTTCTGCTGGGTCAGACGTCGATCTTTATAGGACGGGTCGAACCAATCAACTGAGTCTGATCAGTAATAAAATTATTTTCTCCCGAACGATTTTATATACATTATCGAAATTTTTTTAAAATTTATTAGTTTAGTTCGTTACATGTGAAGATCGACGTTTGTCCCGGAGACGATCTTCGGACCCTCTGCCCGTCTGAACGTTTTGGACGATACAAACTCATTCAGACGAACTTAACTAAGCCGGACGTCGCTAAGAACATTTCATGAACTTAACTCACTAAGTTTGGTTCGTCTCATGAAAAGTACGACGTTTGGCCTAGGTCTTTTTTTTCTTTGTTACGTACTATTTAGTTCACACGAAATGTTTTGTATATTGCAGATGTATGTAAACCGGGCTGGTCATATTTTAATGGTATTTGTTACTCGACAAGCCATTCGTGCAAAAATTGGACTGAAGCTGAGAAAACCTGCCAGGCATATAGCGGGAACCTCATCACTGTGCGGAATCAAGAAGAAAACGTCTATATTCAGCATCGGCTGAATGGTGCCAAGGGCTGGATTGGGCTAAACGATAGGGTAATTGAGGGTACTTTCGACTGGGCAGATAATCAAACCAGTAACTTTTCATATTGGGCGAAGAACCAACCAAACAACGTCAACAATGAAGATTGCGTTCATACTTTGGGAGTCAGACATAGTTTTATGTGGAATGATGTAAGCTGTGGTACTTGCCATAACTATACCTGTTCAGAAGGTTTGTGGGTGACTTACCTCTTTTATATACCAACAGGCGTTACCATTATTATTATCATTATTATTATTATATTATTCATTAGCTCCTATTCAAAAGCAATTTACTTCCTATTTGCCCCAAGCCTGTTTCAAAAAGAGATTATAAAAATACTTTCTCATCAAAGGGTTTGCTCTTGACCTAATTTTGCAAGTGTGGGTTTTTACAAATCGAAAATGGACCTCGATAACCAATAGGCCATTTGCACGATGACGTCATTTTTTTACTACCACTACCAGAATCCTTCAGGGTATTGCTTTCTTATGCAAATTACAGCTTTTGTTATTTAAACCTCAGTGGGATTAGCAAATTTAAATATGAAAGAAAAAACGAAAAGAATTCTGGTCCTAGTAGTGAAAAGGCGTCATCGTGCAAATGGCCCATTTCTCTGGCTTCTTAGCTGACAAAAAGTTTGAGTTTACTGTAAATCTGTTTGTTGCAGAAATAGTATTAATTAAAGGATTAGTCTACAAAGAAAAATAGGCACTACCTGTGCGAAAAAGAAAATTAGGCATCACAAGAAGGATCCATAAGCTGGCGCTTTTAGCATTGTATTACCCCCTCATACACAACAGATTTCGTGCTGAGTGACTCATATGAGCAACGATTTTAAATTTTTATTCTTTTGTTAAGAAAGTTGATTGATAATCGATCGTTTCATTATTTGTTTTGCAGGTTGATTGACTGAACGATTGTTTTATATTCGTTTTTAAAATTAGATTTTGATGAATGTGGAGGAAACTATAACCATTGTCATCAGAACGCCATCTGCACAAACACTATTGGCTCCTATAGCTGCCGGTGCTCCGTAGGATATACTGGTGATGGCTTGCTTTGCAGAGGTATTATGTTCGAAGCCCCAAGTTGTAGTTTTTCGTATAATTCATGAAGCATAATTATCAAAGGAAACTCATCCAATGGTAAACAGACATCTCTTGTGAGTTTAAGGCTAGCTAGAATAAGGTAGAATAAGCCTGCTTTCACCGTAAAATTGCGTAAAAATTTTTTTTTCAAAGAACTCTTTAGAGGGGTTTTAAATAATGAGCAGCGTATAATAGTAGTGAAATAAGCGTTTAAATATAGGCTGGAAAAAATTAGGAGGGAAGTCTTCACAGCGACTTTTTTTTTCAATTTCAGAGATGATAAAATTTGCACATTATTTCCCAATCTCTATGAATAACAGCAATGAAGTTTTTTAATTATCCTTATTTTATAGTTCATAGGTATACAGACCATACTATAACCTTAAATACAGCCCAAAAAGAGAACTAAAGTTCATA